CACACACACACACACACACACACACACGGGTCAGAAGGTGAGAACACAGGTGATGTCATCTGATCTGAGATCAGCTCGTGTTTGACCTCTGACCCACAGTTCAGTTCCTCCGCCTGAATGACAGAGATCCTAAAAAGAGAACATAAACTGGCTTGTGTAATAGTACTATCCTGAATAACTGATGTTTCATGGGAAGATACAGGGAAAATTTGAATTTAGCTGGAAAACTTACATTTATTTTCATTTACATTTACATTTAGTCATTTAAAGCAACTTACATATGAGGGCAACAGAAGCAATCATAGATAGAAATAGAATAGAGAGTGCAAGTGTTAGAGGGTGAAGTGTGTATTTTTAATAAATAATAAATAATAAATCAATAATTAATAAATAAAAAAGAACACAAATAGATCAAACAGATAGAGTTAGAATAGAGAGTGCTAGAGTTAGAAGATCAAATGAAGATGAAGGATTTATTTGACACATTAAAAGTGTCTGCTAAAGGAATGTATGTGAAATGTAAAATTGAAACAGAAGTAGCATCAGATGTTTTCTTCTGTATTGCGATGCACATCAGAGTGTAACAGATTATCATTAAAGAATATCTGTAGGGCGGGGCTTGGTTCTGTGCATCATTGTTGATTGGTTGCTGAGATGTGGGCGTGGTATATGCAGATGAATGCGCTTGAGAGGCGGAGCTTAAGAGACTAAATGATTGGGGAAATCCTGCATATGTCATCAGAGAGAAGATTCAGTTATGACATTCTGATCAAACATTACCAGATCAAATTTTAGAAAATATATTGGGGTGTGTTTTCTTTTCATACTGACTTTTACTAGAAGAATTATAAGATTAATACAATTATTTTGAACACTCATATACTCAAACAATTAAAGATCACACAAAAACAATATCCAGAAGAATTTTATCAATGCTATCATTATTAATATATTTTCTCATTCTATTTCATTCTATTTAATATATTCATTCTATTTTCTCATTTTCTCATTCTGGCAGGTGGTTTTGAGCGAATCATGTGAGCTGAAAATGTCATGTGACTATAATATCATGAAATATTAACTATATCTATGCTGATGATGCTTGGGCTGTTGTTATTTCCTCAGAACACACAGATATGAGTGAATGGGGTCTGAAGGTGTAGTTACACTATTGACCAGCAGGGGCTCCTGAACTCATGCAGGAACTCATGCAAAAACAGGAAGTGACATCACAGAGGTCACCCATAAACCCTCATGACTGTGTGAAGGTCACTGAATCTAAAAACATCAGATGGAACGGCAAGTTCAGTTCAGGTTCAGATGTCACGAAAGTGATCACAATTCATGACGTCTGTAAAAACAAATACTGGAGAATTTCAGAAAACTAATAATGATTATATATGTGTATAATCATGTGTTTTGAAGGTGCATGGGAAATATATGATTGGCTTTTACTGGCTGGGTACAATACTGGACAAATTCATGGAAATTAAATTAAAAAACATTTGTGCACTGCAAAGTACAAACAGAGTACAGACAATAGTAAATCAAAATGAAATTAGATATTAAATCTTCTTTTCTGAAAAAAAGATGTGAGTTTATGATTAAAAATATATATATATATTTGCCAATGGGTCAGAAAAATCTACTTAATTCAAAGGGAAAATAAAGTATTTTTCTGACCCCATCTGGAGATATTTTTTCTTGTTTAAAGCATAAACTCAGTTTTCAGAAAACAGGATTTTATCTCTTAAATAATTTTGCTGTTCCAGTAAATGTGTCTGTAATTAAGGATGTTTAGATATTTGTACTGGAAAACAAGACAGAAATACTGAGTGTGAAAATCAATTTTTGTCAGTGTGTTTGTGTGACAGACATTGTTTAGTCCTGCAAGTTCATTCAGATCCACGGCTGTTATCTGTCTTTTATAGATGACATCATGACTGATTCATTCTGCGTGTGTGTGTGTGTGTGTGTGTGTGTGAGTGTGTGTGTGTGTGTGTGTGAGTGTGTGTGTGTGTGTGGGATGACGTGAGAGTGTGTGTATGTGAGTGTGTGTGTGATTCTATTTCATTCTATTTAATATATTCATTCTATTTTCTCATTTTCTCATTCTGGCAGGTGGTTTTGAGCGAATCATGTGAGCTGAAAATGTCATGTGACTATAATATCATGAAATATTAACTATATCTATGCTGATGATGCTTGGGCTGTTGTTATTTCCTCAGAACACACAGATATGAGTGAATGGGGTCTGAAGGTGTAGTTACACTATTGACCAGCAGGGGCTCCTGAACTCATGCAGGAACTCATGCAAAAACAGGAAGTGACATCACAGAGGTCACCCATAAACCCTCATGACTGTGTGAAGGTCACTGAATCTAAAAACATCAGATGGAACGGCAAGTTCAGTTCAGGTTCAGATGTCACGAAAGTGATCACAATTCATGACGTCTGTAAAAACAAATACTGGAGAATTTCAGAAAACTAATAATGATTATATATGTGTATAATCATGTGTTTTGAAGGTGCATGGGAAATATATGATTGGCTTTTACTGGCTGGGTACAATACTGGACAAATTCATGGAAATTAAATTAAAAAACATTTGTGCACTGCAAAGTACAAACAGAGTACAGACAATAGTAAATCAAAATGAAATTAGATATTAAATCTTCTTTTCTGAAAAAAAGATGTGAGTTTATGATTAAAAATATATATATATATTTGCCAATGGGTCAGAAAAATCTACTTAATTCAAAGGGAAAATAAAGTATTTTTCTGACCCCATCTGGAGATATTTTTTCTTGTTTAAAGCATAAACTCAGTTTTCAGAAAACAGGATTTTATCTCTTAAATAATTTTGCTGTTCCAGTAAATGTGTCTGTAATTAAGGATGTTTAGATATTTGTACTGGAAAACAAGACAGAAATACTGAGTGTGAAAATCAATTTTTGTCAGTGTGTTTGTGTGACAGACATTGTTTAGTCCTGCAAGTTCATTCAGATCCACGGCTGTTATCTGTCTTTTATAGATGACATCATGACTGATTCATTCTGCGTGTGTGTGTGTGTGTGTGTGTGTGTGAGTGTGTGTGTGTGTGTGTGATGACATCAGTGTGTGTGTGTGCCAAGTACATCTCTGCTTTATTAATGGATCAGCGCTGATCGGCCTGAACATGCTGTGCAAACACACTCTTTTCACAGACTTCTGCTGCTTTTATATGAATATAAAGAATAAAGTAAAATATGCTTTATGCTGTTTTACAATAGAAATGAAAGCGCTTCACGTCTGAATCGTGTTTCTAATTGAGGACATCCACAAAGAGATTGAATCTGTGGTTCTGTTTCTCTCCTGTTATCACTGTGAAGCGGTGTCATCTGTATTGTATGAAGCACTGTAGAAGTAAATGTGACTTGATTTGACTTGAGCTTTTGCACGCTGTGATGTGGTTCGTATGTCATGTGATGTGTTCATTACAGTTTTTTTCAAATGCTTACACACAGAATCTTTCCTTGTCACACAGTTTCTGAAAGCTGACACTCAAACAGCAGAAGCACACACCAAATCTACAAAACCATACACTAATTCTCAGCCTTTGACTCAGTTTTCAATTTCATAAAACACTTTTTGCAAAACACAACACACAGTTCTCTATGTAACACACACAAATCTAACAGGAATTAATATTATGGCAAAGCTGTTTGCAAATGTTCGCTTTTGAGATATGTTTGTGATATTTTGAATGCAGCGCTTCATTTTGCAAGAGATGAGAGGCATTTTGCATTTTGTGAGCAATTCTTGGATTTGTGTGTAAAGTTTTGAAAAATTTGTAAGCAATTGAAAAAAACTGTAAGTGCTGTTTCCCACAATCCTCTCTGTTTCCCGCTCAGGTGCTCGATCATGCTGGAAGACGTGGTGAAGGCGAAGCTGTCTCCGGCCAGAGGACGAACGCGGCGGCAGACGTCTGAGCACGAGGAGAGTCGCGGGATGGACCCGATGGACAGCAGACGGCGAGCGCAGAGAGAGCGAACCGCAGCCAAGAGCCGAGACCTCTCACGAGACGACCTGCTCTTCCTCCTCAGCATGCTGGAAGGAGAACTGCAGGTCGCGTCTAAATCAAAATCACACATCTATTTTCTAAATGCATGTTTTAGATTCATCTGTGCATGTGTTATTTTGCACTTGCACATTTTGATCTGGTAATGTTTGATCAGAATGTCATCATAATTGGATCTTCTGTCTGGTGACGTATGCAGGCTTTCTCCAATCATTTAGTCTCTTAAGCTCCGCCTCTCAAGCTCACACTCCTCTGCATATACCACGCCCACATCTCAACATCCAATCAACAACTGATGCACAGAACCAAGTCCCGCCCTACATTTATTCTTTTTCAGTAATCCATTAGACTCTGATGTACATCACACGGTACAGAAGAAAAGATCTGACATTATTTCCATTTTCATCACATTCACACCAAGAATGAAAACTATTACAGTAAAATTATAGTAATTGCTGTAACTGTGAGAATAGCGAAGTCTGTGCCAAAATTATAAAGATAACGACTCAGATTAACAATAACGTTGGAATCACTTTCAAAGTGACTTTTTCCAACTGATAAATAATATAAACACTGACAGCCAATCAGCATCCTTCTGACTTTAAAGAGATTGAGCACTTAAAGTGGCAGATGACAAAACTGCAGCGTGCACTTAGAATAAAGTATCATCCACACCAGGTAATGTAGTTATCATTATAGTTATTGTTACAGATGTGAACGGGCCTTTAGACAAGCCACATTGTACGTTTTTTTCCCTGAGACTGATTTAGTGAAAGTTTATTACAACAAAAACAGCTGTAAATGAGTTGATTGTGATCATCGTCTGCCTGGTAACGGTCGTTTTAGTGCTCTGAACAATATAATACATGTAAATCCGTGAGTCTTTCTGAGTAAAAGTTTATTCATGGGCTTGACTGAGCATTTAAGTTGAGACACTACAGGCAAAAATATATATATATATATTTTAATGCATTGGTCAATTTTGAGATTTTGGCCTATTAACTTTTATGTAAGTTATTTTCAAGTGTTGTTTCAGACTAGTGGAAAGAAAACATTTAAGTGTTTATTTTTTGCACTTTATGTATTTGCGCCTATAGATTTCAATTCCAATCCATATCTTTAAAAGTTTTCTCCTCCACTTCAGCAGCACTTACATACACCAAAACTTAGCATTTTTATTCCAATCTACTGTGTATTCTGAATGTTTTTATTGAGGGGTTTGTGAATATATCATGCACACTGATTTATACAACATTTTAGTCCTGAAACATGGTGAATTTTTTTTTCTGTCTGTTGAGAGTATTTTCTGATTTATGGAGTGATGAAAAGAGAAATCCAAAATCCCCTCAGTAAAAACATTCAGAATATAGAGAGGAATAAAACTGTAAAGTTTGGTGTCTGTAAGTGCTGCTGAAGTGGAGGAAAAACTCTTTAAAGATATGGATTGGAATTGAAATATACAGACGCAAATAGATAAAGAGTCATAAGACGAGACACTACAAACAAAACCAGTGTTTTAATACTGGTCAATTTAGAGGTTTTGGTCTATTTTGCTTTCATAACTTGTCTTCTTTCAAGCTAGAGTGGACAGAAAACATTTAAGTGTTTCATTTATGACACTTTATCTATTTACGTCTGTATATTTCAATTTCAATCCACATCTTTAAAGAGTTTTTCCTCCACTTCAGCAGCACTCACATACACCAAACTTTACAGTTTTATTCCTCTCTATATTCTGAAGGTTTTTACTGAGGGGATTGTTGATATTTCATTCACACTGATTTATATAAAATTTCACTCCTAAAAACTTGGTGAAAATGTGTTTGTTTTCTGTCTGTTGACAGTATTTTCTAATTTATGGAGTGATAAAAAGAGAAACCCAAAATCCCCTCAGTAAAAACCTTTAACTCTAACGTATCAATAAAATCAAACCATAATTCTGAATCTGGCTTCATCCAATGTTCAGATTTATGTTCTGAAAATGAATCCAAATTATGGCATATTGCATATATAAACATAACATTTCAGAAAACTTGTAATACAAAAAAAATGTGCGCAATTCTTAATGTAATCAATCAAGTGTGGAAGTATGGTGATGTTCATTAGTTAAATTTCACCTGTTCACCTGTGGTGTCTTGCCTTATTATGAAGCAGAGAGTCAAACCCTGTTAAAAACAAAGAGACATCAGTCAGTCCCTCATGAAATTAAATCAACATAAAAGGAAAATTAATTAGAGCTCCAGGCAGTTAATATTCATTCAGTTTTAAATGCAAACACTGAAGTCCTTCCCTTAATGAATTCATAGGTTGTTTCTGTGTTTTAATGACACGCGTGTGTTTGCTGCAGGCCAGAGACGAGGTGATCACCGTCCTCAAAGCCGATAAAATCGATCTGGCTCTGCTGGAGGCCAAATACGGCTTCGTGACGCCGCCGAAGGTGCTGCAGGCGCTGCAGAGAGATGCCATCCAGGCCAAGAACAGCAGCTGGCAGGAGGACATCTACGAGAAGCCCATGAGCGAGGTACGAGAGTCAGAGGCAGACAAACTACACAACTATTACTTGAGTGAAAGTACAGATACTGCTGGTCAAATATTACTCCATTACAAGTGAAAGTTGTACAGACTGATTTTTACTTAAGTAAAAGTAAAGAAGTACTTGTTTTTAAAAGTACCAAAAGTAAATTTCCTTTTTTTTTTACGTCAATGCACTGTTTTATTATTGTTGTATGTTATCCTTGCAATACCGCTGAAGCAACTTACAATACATTACGCCTACTGAATACACTGACTAGCTTGTAGTATATCTTTAGAGTAAAGAGCTTTTAGAATGTTAAAAACCTATGGGAAAAAAAAAATATTTACACCCCTTCCCACCCCCACAAAAGCACAGCATCTTTTGTGTAGCTATTGCTCCACATTTGAACAAAGTGGATAGTGAAATTGCTGTAAATACAGACTAGTAAGAAAAAAAATAACTTGCTTTAAAAGCCAGCAACACAACTGTAGCTGTATAACTTTACAACAGCAGCACTGCTTTAAAAAAAAAAAAAAAGCAAAACAGCAAATACTTATTTGACATCAATGTTTTCACATCAAAAATGTAAAAAATGCTCTCGAATCACTCTTGTGGTGCTTTGATGTCCCACACAGAACGGTCTGCAGTGCTGCTTCAAGTCAAACACCTACAGTATTGTGTTTTATTAGGAGACGCACAACTTTTCTGTGGCTTCATAGGTAATATTTTCATTTACACAATTTAGCAAAATCAGACAATATTGTGTCTAATATATACCACAAAATTAACTCTTCTTATTATTGAATTGTTGTAAATAAATATCACATTTGCAACTGGTCAGTGTTCAATAAATGCTGGGAAATCACTTCACGTAACCCTACAAGAGTGATTACTGATAAACTGTCTGAACAAAAAGAGAGTCACGTTTTAGAGAAGAAAAAAATCACCCACTGACTTTCAAAGCTGCTACAGAGTAACGACTTTCTACTTCGAGGATCTTGATAGAAATGTAATGAAGTGAAAAGTACAACATTTGTCTTTCAAATGTAGTGAAGTTAAAGTCATAAGTT